CCATCGCCTGTTAATCCAGCGGGTGTACTTCCATCAGCACCCCCATTATTTGGTACCCACTCCTTTTTACCATCAGAGGAGCGGAGAAAATTACAGATGGCTTTCCCAGTCTTAGGGGAAAAGGCCATGCATATTAGGCCTGGAATGCCTGGGGCTTTAAAGCCTGCCTCATAAACATTAAAGCTCAGGGGCATACCGCGGCCAAGCGTCTCAATATGGTGACCTCCCGGGAGCGGGGAGCCACCAGGTTGCCTAAGGAGGGGTGAACCGGCCCAGGTCGGAAACGGAGCCGGTCAAAACTCCCGTGCTGATCAGTAGTGGGATCGCGACTGTGAAGTACTTTACATTTTGGTGTCTTCAGGCACCATCATTGTAATGGAGAATGCAGGAAACGGCTCCCTACACACGTACATTAGTTAGGACTTGAAAAGACCAGGTGCAACAGAAGCCCCAGTGTGGCTGACATCAGTCAGGGTTCTGCTCACCTCCCCATAAAGAAGTCTAGACGCCAGGGGCAGCTGCTCAAGGATGACATCAAGCACCCAAGCTGCTTTTATTTTCCTGCTCCACTTTCCTCGTTATGTGTCCCCTATCCTCAGAGCTGCGAACTGTTCACCACAGCTCCAGCTTCGCAGCTGTGGTGAGCAGAGGCAGGGAGAAACAGGACAGCCACTGCCTGTGTCAGGGAGGGAGTTCCTCAGCCATGCAGACTTCCGCTTACGGCTTATTTATGTGACCACAGCCCTTCCGTCATGGTGCCAACAGAAACTGTTGACTTTTTTTTTTCTTTTTTTAAGAAAGAAGATAATCCATAATAGCTAGAAGATAGAAAGGTGTTATGGGCAATCACACAAAGCCCTGATGGAACATATTACTGATAAAAATCTGAGTGGTCAGAGGCACAGGGCTTCCTATAGTTGTGACTCTCTGCAGGCATCTCTCGATTCAGACCAGGCTGTATGATGGACAGGTAGTTTAGAAGTATGGGTTTCAAGGATGAACAGATCTGGAGGTCTTTCATAAATTACATCAACTCTCCAAAGCTCAAATAAAGGTAAGGGCAGTAGCCGCCTCACTGGATAGAAGAACCTGCACCAGCACTTGGTGTAGGGGCTTGCACCAAGGACTCTGTAGCCACTAGCTGCTGCCACCACCATGATTCACTGTCTCCTCCGCCAACTTCCTTGGGGCTGGTTTTCCTGCTCTCACATTTTCCCCCAGCACACACACTGCAGCATCTTCTTTGAGCCTAAATTAGACTTTTCTTGTTTTAAGGTTTATTTTCTTTGGATTCTGTATATGTGTGGTGATATGTGCTCATGGGAGCAGATGAGGACATCAAATCCCCTGGGGCTGGAGTTGAAGGCTGTTGTGAGCCCCCTGACATAGGCACTAGGGACCCCTCTAAAAGCAGCACACACTCTTGACTACTGGGCCATCACTCCAGCCCCTTAAATTAGGTTTCCTAAGAACTTTTATCACTGTGGTGTGGTAACCTACTACTTTGGTTCTTTCTTGGCTTACTTTTTCCTCTCTTTGCATAATACATATTGGTCGGGGATCCAAGGTGTCGGCGTTAGGACAAAGTGCGAGGGGCACCTTGGCGTATTCCATGAAGGGCGAGGGTGACCGAGGCAGAGAGACAAACATACCAGGCAGACTGAGCTTAAATGCTAAGTTTTTTTAGAAAGGGGAGGGAAGGGGGAAGGAAAGAGAAAAAAAGGGAAAGAGACACAGAGACAGAGGACAGAAGAGAAGAGGGAGACAGAAAAAGTCCTGTCTGCCCCAGGGGAACAGTGGGAAGAGAGATCAGGAAAGAGAAGAGAGCAGAAAGAGAGCATAAGTGGGCAGAGGTCTTTCTTTTAAAGGGGTCCTTTGTACCTGGGCTGACCAGGGTACTGCCTGAGTGCATTCTGCCAGGTGACAGGGGCAGGCTAACATAGTGCTTGAATCCTTACAGTCACGAGTGCCCATTGGTCACCCCAGAGAGCCTGGTGATTCCCCAGCAGAAGCCCACGTCTCTGTAAGCCCGGCTGTCCTGGAGAGGAGACTGATCTGGGATATAGGCTTGGCTGATGTTGATTCTCATCACGTGTTCTTTCAGATTAGCGGAACATTTCAAGTGAACATCCCACCCATTTTGCTTGGGTACACCTGGAGCAACACTTATGTCCCTCCTAGAGAAGACTGCAGTGGGCAGAACCCAAAAGAATGTACCTTCCTAAATATTTTTGCTACAATTGAACCTCAGATATCATATATCACATTCAACCCGAAACTAGATGAGGTAGGTCTCAAACCAAATTATTCTGAAACAAATTATCAAAAACAGTGTAAATTTCAAAGATATCAGAAGTAAACATTGGTTTTTCTCTTATTTTCTAAGGGGGGAGGGAGCAATACAGTGTTGAACTTTTTAAAATCTGATTCCAGTTTTCAGATCAAATAGACGTTTTGCAGCGAGCACAGATTTTTACCAGGAACTGTAAGGCCATGTTTCCCAACCGAAGAGTGGTGACCACCGTTTTTAATGGTGAAGGGATGCAGGTCTTTGTCACAAGATTTATCAAGGCGTTGAACCCACCACAGCAACTTCTGGATATATTTCTTCATGATTCCAATGCGACCCTTGTGAGTTATGATTTTTTTCTTTCTTTCAGTTTCATAGAGATTACAGAGCCTGTGTGAAGAATCAAGTACGTCTTTTAGTTGGGGATCAATCTAGGCGACTTGTTCTCTTCAGACAGTTTGTGTTGTTTGTAAGTTACAAAGCTCTCTTAGGAGGACCCTTTGGGCTAAAACTCAAAGCCTGGGTCTTGGTTGCTTTTACTGTATTCTGCTTTTCCATTGTGGTTTCTTCATGCTGGTTGGTCTTAACACCCACTGCCCTGGGGCTGACAGTATTCTTGTGTATTCTCGGATGCTCATGAAGCATTGTGGGGCCTGTGACTCAAATGCATGAAGCTAACGGTACTCTCCTTTCCTTATGGAGCATTGTGGAGCATGTGACTTACATAGGAAGTCATCAGTGCAAAAAGTCACGGCTGTGCATAAAGGACATGCTACACATCACTTCGAATGTTAAAGAGCTTTTTGTGTTGTCCTTCTTTCTTCCTTTTGAGTCTTAGTCTGCAGCATTCTAGTGGGGAGGGGAAATCCTCAGTGTGACTTCTGTTGCCGAGGAAGCAGGCCACATCTGTATCCAGCTGCAGCAGCTTAATGTGTTGTGCCCAGATTTCGGAACCCCAAAAGAACCCACCAACAAGGAGATGACTCACCGAATGCAAGGACAAAGGTTTCTTTATTGACTCAAGGATACGAGCTGCAGCAAGGACCCCATTCGTTCAGGAACAAATGGAGTACCCACTTTTGACTGAGGGGTACTTTTATAAGGCAAAATTGTAGGGCTGGAAGCCCCAAGATTACAGAACTTGCGTGGTTACACAGGACAGGGCAATGGTTGTATGCTTCAGGCAAGATGCAATTAAGCAGGATGCTCAGAGGAAATGAGTTTGTTCATTGTCTCCTGGGCTGGGGACTTCTACAATTGATAACTATCTGATCCTCTTTGGACCAGAGGAATGTGGACGCCATTCTAGGGTGTGATATCTGGTCTAAGGGCTTGAGTCCTGTGGACCTTTGTTTAACCGTGTCTGCTGGGCTGCCTTTTGGGAACTCAGAGTTTTCTTTTTGGGCTTTGGAGTCTGGGTTTTAGACTTTTATTAATTTTCCCCTTTCAAATGCAAGTTTATAAGAAAGGGAATTCAGAAAGATTCTGAAGCAAGAGCCAGTCGAGCCTTCGCTGTTTCACACCTTTTAAAAATGTTGACCTGTTGCTGCAGTGTTGTAGTATTTTAAATTCTAATAATGTATTACAATAAAACATAATGCCTAGCAAGGAGTCTCTGGCTCAGGCATTTGGGGCCCTACTCCCATAGCATATTACCTTTGTGAGTCTGAACAAGTTACATCATCACTCTGAGCTTGGACCTAGGTTCCCTGAGAGGCCTGTAGTATGCTCTGAGAGAGAACACTTGTGAAGCTGCCTGCTAGACAACGGACATGCTCAGTGACTGTCAGTTTATCTTATTCCAGGACCTTATCGCCCGATTTGTATCTTTGATTCCTTTCACAACAGAAACGTTGGACGAAAATGATGGTTTTGATATATGGATGACATCAGAGGTAACACATGGCATTTTATAGTTAAAATGTGTAATATTTCTCACTTGTCTTAAAGTAGCACTTCTTTGTACAGTGTTCTGCCTTGTCAAATATGAAAGTGTTTGATAACTTGTATATACTTCCCAGCTCCCTAATAATTTATGGATATACATCATTAAGATGATCTGTTTTCAAAAAATGCAAAGGAATTCCTCATGAGTATTTTTATTTCATGGGAATATTCCAGCAGTGCAGTATCATGATATTCTCCAGAGAGCCCTGTGGATTATCTCTGTGGAAATGTCCAGAATGATATCCACAGCAAGCGTGTCACTTCCCCAAAGTGTCCCCGGTCTCTCGCAGGGACTATGTGCGAGAGAGGGAAGAATGACAGGAGATACAGGGTAACAGAGAGAATAGTGAAAATAAGAGAGAGCTAGTGGGAATAAGAGAGAGAGAGAGAGAGAGAGAGAGAGAGAGAGAGAATAAGTACATAAGAGAGACAATAGCGGGAATAAGAGAGAGAGAGAGTAAGAAGATAACAAGAGATAGAGAAAAGTACATAAGAGAGAATAGTGGGAATAGCCAGGTTGTAAGAAGGATGAGTAGTTCAAGGAGGGAAACCCAAGAGCTGAAGGGAGATTAGGGTGGGGGGGTGAGAAGGACTAGGATGCTAGTGTGGACTTTGTAATGTGTAGCAGGTACTTAAGATGCTGAGGAGGAAGCCTGAAGGTAAGCATGTGCTCTGATATAGTGGTAGGCACCACAGGCAGCCATGTGTCCCTTCTGCCAGAGGTGAGGGAAATGACTCCTTTGGCAAATGGGAACCAGTTTCACAAGTTCCTGAAGAATGCTAACTTTTATCTAAGCACCAGAAATACTCCTGTTGGAGCTCATTTCTGGAGACCTAACAGCTAGCCATCATTTGAACACTTAAGCCACATCTTTAGAATTTTTTTCAGCAGAAGCCAGAAATCCAGAGTTTTACACAAAATTTTCCTTTAAAGAAATTCTAAGTGAAAGACCCGTGAAGAGGTACTTTCGTAGAAGGAGACCCGCACCCAGGAATCAGCGAAACCACGAACTTTGGATGCAAAAGCAAGAGGTTTTATTGGTGGCGCGCGTACCCGGGGGCTTAGCTTCTGTTAGGCCAAGCCCCGAGCCCCGGAAGGGGAGTCCTTTTATAGGGGAAAAAGGCACAGTAATAGTCAGGCGAAACGGCCTTTATCTTTTGCCGCGTCCAGATGGCTGACCTTGGGACGGAGCGATCCCTCGGGGGCCGGGGCCGGCCTTGCGCAGCGGTGGGGAAGTGAGAGCCGGCAGCTGTGGGGATCAAGGGTCGGGGAGTGCAGGGGAGGATGTATTCCCCGCACGCTCCGCCAGCTGCTGACCGGAGGAGGAGGCAACCTTAAAAGAAAAAGCTAAGGGCGGGGGTCTTTCACTAAGGACTAAGGCCAGGCACAGTGACACATGCTTTTAATCCCAGCACTCCAGAGGCAGAGGCAGGGAGATCTCTGTGAGTTCAAGGCCAGCCTGGTCTACAGAGCAAGTTCCAGAACAGCCAGGGCTATACAGAGAAACCCTGTCTCAAAAAATAAAACAAACAAATTCTAGGGACCAAACAGAACATGATGAGGTGTAGGCCACCATTCTTCCTGTCCTGCCATCCCCATCTTCTTGCTATGCAGTCACACCTGGCACCTGTGTCTGATCTCTGGCCTGGAGCTCAGCTGTTCGGCACTTTAGGGTAAAGAAGTTTCTACTACACTTCTTTTTTTTCTTGGTTTTTCGAGACAGGGTTTCTCTGTGGCTTTGGAAGCTGTCCTGGAACTAGCTCTTGTAGACCAGGCTGGCTACGAACTCACAGAGATCCCCCTGCCTCTGCCTCCCGAGTGCTGGAACTAAAGGCATGCGCCACTAACACCCGGCCTATTATGCTTCTTGATTAGGCATCATCTAACTCATACTCCTTCCTGTCTTTGAGTCAAAAACTATATTGGTACAGGGCAGACTGTAGCTTTCCCCCGGATCCTGTGTGACTCCTTATCTTCCTCGGAAGCTCAGGGCAGCATAATATTTGTTCTCAACACAAAAGCCTCATTTTGGATATAAATTGTCTGGCCGCTCCATGTAATATTAATATTAACTGTCCCAGTATCAGAGTGGCCTGGTGTTCTAAGTTACTGTTCTCCTCGTCCTATGCATCCCTGAAGCCAGAACATGGTTTTGTTGTCATGTTAGCAGATGGTCGAGTCAACCCTGAGACTGAAGGGAGTGTAAGGCTCTACATGTGTTGTTTAGTCTACTTGACTTTCTCTTTCCTTTCTCCTCTTCCTTCCTCCTTTCTGAATATACTGTATTATTTTTGTTTCTTTTCTTTTGCCCAGTGCTGCATTAGTTTGGCTATTGGAAATAAGGAAGAGCATGCCATACTTCTCTGTAATTTCTTTCTGTACTTTGGAAAGAAGGCGTTGGTGCTCCTGGGGACCTCAGTCCTAGAAGTAAGTGCTGGGAAAATGTGAACAAAACTAAACCAGATTTAAGCTGCGTATTTGGTGGACTTCCAATGAGCTAGAGAGTTCCGCAGGCAAACATTTGTGACTTGAGGATAATGGTGGATCACCAAAATTTCTGCAGTGCAAAAAATAGCTTTTTTTCTACTTGTAAAACAGCGCTGCCTGATAAGGCCACAGGGGCTATTAAATTACATCATCCCACAGCAGCTGTCTGTGGCATATGTGCAATGGATGGGTTCAGGGGTTATACAGCATCAGTTGCGTGGAATTTCGGCTGTCCTCATCCACCACCATTATTCTGGGTTTCAGATGCTACACTGTAAGACCCTGAAAAAAGCTTGCCAATAGTGTCTTCAAACATTTAACCTCACAAGAACTGACCAGAAATGCATCCTTACTGATAGGAAACATTTTTACAACTCAGTTTAGGTATTTCTGAATATATCCTTCCAGAAGCTGTCCTTTAGCTCTACATGGATATCTGTCCACCTGTCAGCATTTCCAGTCTTGCCTTCTGTCTTTTTGTTGTTGTTCTGTCACTATATCTTATTTCCCAGCATCCCTTGCCATCGACTATTATTTGTCAAATTTGTTAACGCCCCATTTGGTCCCCTGCTGTAGTTGTAAGTGCCGCTAGGTGGCAGTAAACACACAACTAGATCTCAATAGATACATTTATTTGTATGGGAAGTAACTCCATAGGAGGCTGGTTTCACCTCAGTTCTATGGGGAGGCATAGTAAGGAGCAAGAGCTCTGGACTAGAGACTAGGGACGTCAGGGTTCACAACACAGAGCAGTGATGAGCCTCGCTGGGTTCGGGGACAAGTGTTAACACCCAGCAGCTTCACTTAGGTCTGAGCTCAGTTTTGCTTGTCTCTCAGGTCCCAGCCTCTGCACAGATGGAATCCTGCTTCTCCCCATCACCATAGCCCCCTCAACCGCTGATTTCTCATTAAAGAGGGGCAAAAAACATTCCATCCTCGCAGAGTTGAGAGTAAATTAAAAAGAAAATCAATGTGAATCTTAGGCTAAACAATAAATGTTAAATATTACCATTATTTGAATTATCTATTTTTCACTAAAAAAGTGTCAACACTAAAAAGATACATGTGGAGCAAAATAGCTGTTTTTGAAAAAAAAACTGTAAAATTGTACTTATTATTGAGTAGGTACATGGCACACATGAGACTTCAGGGTGCTTTTTCCTTCTGCCTCCATACAGGCTCCTGGGATGAGGGTCAGCAGGTAGAAACTCACTGGCCCCATAACTAATTCTCAGTATATTTTCTAAATGCTTATTTATTATTATTAGTGTGTATTGGGGGTGAGCATGCCAAGGTGCACTTTGTCATGAGTTAGTTCCCAGGTCACTAGCCTTGCATGACAAGTGTCTTTAGCCACTGAGCCAGCTCCCCAGCCAAGGCTTCTGATTCATTAGACTGCCTTCCTGTATTCTTTCGCTTCTAGTTCCAAGTCTTGCTTTCAATTTTAATTTAGTGGATTTTAAATTTCTATACTGATTCCCTCTTAGCCTTAGGCCAGTTTATCTTCCCCTACTCTGCCTAGTCTCCAAGTGTATTCTAACCAAAGTGAGTCCCCACAGCTCGTTTGTGTAAATTAGACAAAAGTGACGCTGTCACAAAATGCTTTAGGACTGTCTGGTAGAGTCATCATAGTATATTGATTTTGTTAGAGTAACCTTTTTTTTTTTTCCATCAGTGTACCCTTCAGAACCTCCAATGGTGTCACTGAGTCACATGTTTTCTTAATTTAAATCCTCATACTACCTGGGTCTTCCTTGATTTTGTTGTTGTTTTTTTTTTTCAGAGTTTTTTGTTTGTTTTTGCAGCTAGGTTTTTAACCCCCACCATCCCCCAAAAAACTTTTAAAGCTCAGAGTAATGAAGGTGGTCAACACATACAGCAAAGATGACTGAATCGTTTTCCTTCTGCAGGGGCATGTGGCTTATGTATTGACCCAAGAAACTGGAGAGTCTTTGCTTTGGAATCCATCAACAGGGCAGTGTTATAAACAGTTTGACCCATTTTGCCCCTTGCAAAGTGTGGATTGTCTGTTCAATGATAGAAATGTAAGTATATGAAGGGGATATTTTGAGTTATTTCTTCATGTTATCCCAAGCACACATTAGAATAACCCAGGAACTTTGTAATGGTGGTACTTGGGAGTCTGTGGGGTCAGAGATCAGGTCATCTTTTACCCTTAAAGTCAGTCTATAGAGCTTCCAAGATGGCTCTACCAAGCCCTTGCAGCACTCTGGAATCCGCTCCTCCCTTAGGCCTACCCTGGCTTCGGCCACTTGGCTGAGTACCAGGTTGGAACATTTGCACCATTCTTTTTTTATTATTATTAATCTATTTCTTATATTCCAATCACAGTTCCCCCTCCCTCCTTTCCTCCTGCTCCCCCAACACCCCCCCCCTTCCATCTGCTCCTTGGAGAGGGTAAGGCTTCCCCTAGGAAGTCTACTAAGTTTGTCCCATCATCTCGTTGAAGCAGGACCAAGGCACCTCCTCACCTCTCACAAGGCTGTGTCTAGGCTGAGCAAGGTATCTCTCTATATAGAATGGGCTCCACTAAGTCAGTTTGTGCATTAGTTTTAGATTTTGAACCCACTGCCAGTGGCCTCATATATTGTCCCAGTCACACTATTGTCATCTATATTAAGGGAGTCTAGTTCGGTTATGCAGGTTCCCCATTTGTCAGACCTGAGTCAGTGATCTCTCACTAGCTCGGATCAGCTGATTCTGTGGGTTTCCCCATCATGGTCTTGACTCCTTTGTCCGTATTATTGCTTCTCCCTCACTTTGATTGTATTCCAGGAGCTTGGTCCACTGGTTAGTTGTGGATTTCTGCATCTGCTTCCATCTGTTTCTAGAAGAGGGTTCAAGATTCTCTGGGGTTGTGGATTGTAGGCTGGGTATCTTCTGCTTTATTTCTGGTATCCACTTATGAGTGAGAACATACTACATTTGTTTTTGGTTACTTTCTGGCTTTGGGTTACTTCACTCAGGATGTTTTTTTTTTTTTTTTCCCAGTTCTATCCATTTGCCTGTAAATTTTAGGATGTCATTGTTTCTTACCGATGAGTAGTACTCCATTGTGTAAATGTACCACATTTTCTTTATCCATTCTTCAGTTGAGGGGCATCTAGGTTGTTTCCAAGATTAGACTATTACAAATAATGTTGCTGTGAACATAGTTGAGCAAACGCCCTTGTGGTATGAATGTGCCTCCTTTGGACATATGCTCAACAGCATTTGCACCGTTCTTAGCCAATATGGGTCTTGTGTTCCCATGGGCTTACACTGACCTTTTGTTAATGTTTTTATAGGTCTGGTTTAATATTCAACAAAACAATACACCAATGGCTGTACATTTTGACTATTCAAAAGAAAGCTTCTGGAAACAGCTGCTGCCAAAAGACTTTCAGTGGACAAAAGCCCAGAGTGTACAGGTAAATACTCTCTCAAGTATGTCTGCATGAGAGTTACTGTCACTTCTAATCTTTGTTAGTTGTGGCAGTCCCTGGTTGTTGACTTGCTCAGCAATGTTACCCAAAATGAATCTTCTCTGCCATCCAGATTGCCTTTGGGTTAATTTGACCCCTCTCCTGTATCTGCAGAAAAAAAGAACTTGAGAAAATAATGTCATCTTGAATGTTATTTAGATCTTCTAACCTTTTCCCCATCAGAAATACAGCATTTAATGTTCGATATGGCACAGTAGGTTTTTACATCTGGTGATGATCAAGTATAAATACTGATAAGTGTTTCTCCAGACTCCAAACCATAGCAGTTATCTTGTGGAATGAAAACAGGACAGGAAGAGCACCAAGTGAGTGGGACTGAAACAAGGCTGGCAGCAAGGTCTAAACCGGCTTCAGCAAGAGAAGGAGCTGGAGCAGGCATCCCCTCTGAAGCCAAGGACTGTGGTGGAGCACTCCTTCTCCTTACTTTAGAAATAAGATGGGAAGAAACAGCTCTGGTGTCCAGGAGGCAGGGGACCAGAACTGTTGTGGCCAGCAGATCTGTGCCTGTGATCAGTAGCACCTCCTGGATGAAGGGCTATGGAGTGCCAGAGTGAAGTCAATTATAAAGTCCACAAAGTAGGAGCCTTGAGCCAAGAGAAAAGGAAGGGGGCAGTGAGGAGGAAAGAGGGGGAAAGAGAATAATAGGCAAAAGACAATTCATAGAAGCAGAAATTCAAATGTGCACCCTCACTTGTAATCAGGGAAATGGAACGTGTGATCGTACCAAGTGTTAACAAAAATCAGAGAAACGAGGGCAGTGTAAGCTGCCTGATAACGTGATGCAGTCAAACATGCTCTCATTGTGATCCACCCGTTTAACCCTCTAGCTGTGTGCGCTGGAGAACATGCCCAGGGAGAAAACCCCAGCGGTCAGCAGAGAGTCAAATGGCGTGGATGAATAGAACGAAATAGCAAGGAATTAGAAACAGTTCACAATTAGAAAATTGGTCTGTGAGCTGTGAAATACTCGTACAATGCATTCTTCCACAGCACTGGAAAGTGTTTGAACCGGTTTGCAGAAGCTCCCAGTCTCTGTGTGTGTGTTACCTTAGAATGTATGGGTGAATCTGCCTACCAGTAATTTTCTAGATTCCAATCCCGATTTCTAGCCGAGGTTGAGAAGTGCTGGCCTAGAGCTATGCATATCAACAAGAATGGGATATAAAAGTATATATATTAAAAAAAGTAAAGAGTATGTGAAATAATGCACAAAGTACAAAACCACTTAAGTTTGAAAACTACATTGTGTATATATGTATATACCCATACACACACTTGTATATATAATAGATTTGGAAAGGCATTTATAGGAATGCTAAATGCCAAATTCAGGTTAGAGGTTACCTTTAGACTGGAGGGGGTGAAAAGGACAATATCAGAAGGCAGAATACATGGAAGGAGAGAGAGAGCGGAGTATACATATGTGCTGACTCTGAAGAAAACTTCCAGGAGATTTCACATCAGTGATGCTGGCCTCCTCTTCATCACAGTCGAGTCTTCAGCCCCAGCTGACCAGCATCCATTGTCCCAGCAAAGCAAAAGTTTTCCTTTAGTGGTTCTGGTCTCTTGTTAACCACAGCTGATTCTTCAGCCCCAGCTGACCAGGCACCACGGATTCATCACACAAATGGCATGGCGGTCTTGGCTTCCCTCTGAAACTTCACTACTCATCTGCATTGTTTTCAACACACTTATCTTTCTAAGCGCCTATAGAATAGCCCACTGGGCTCTCAACACTCAGTGGCTTTTCTAGCCCAGAATTCCAAAATCCTTCCACAATCCTCCACAAAACAATAAGGTCAAGCCTGTCACCACAATACCCCACTATCCTGGTACTAATTTCTGTCTTAGTCACTGTTCTATTGCTTTGAATAGACACATGACCAAGGCAACTATTTTAAGAGGATGCATTTAATTGGGGTCTTGTTTACAGTTTCAGATGTTTAGTCCATTACCATCATGACAGGGAGTATTGCAACATTCAAGCAGACACTGGAGCAATAGCTGATAACTACCTATACTTGGAGAGCTATCTTATTTTTGTTCTTTTTTAAAAAATCTAAAGTAAGGGCCTGGGATGTAGCTCAGTGATAGAGCATTTTTCCTATCATGCATGAGGCCCTGGGTTCAATTCTCACTACTGCTAAATAAATAAAGTAAAACTAATGAGTAAAAATCTAAAACAAATATAGAAGAATGCAATGATTATATATAGCCTAGTGGCCATATGATGGGTATGTATTCATTACATCATTCTCTGTGATTGTCTGTGAATTCAAGGCAACTCATTGTTGTTAACTTGTTTAAGTTTAAAAATATAAAAAAGGCGCAAGATGAGACGTGAGAACGAGAGATACATTAACCATAGTTTATTCCAGGTGGGGGAGGGGGAGGAGAGGAAGGCAAGAGAGAGAAGTGAGTAAGAGAGAGAAGAGAAGACAGCAAAGAGAAGAGAGTAGGAGAAGAGAGCCTAAGTGGGCAGGGGTCTGTCTTTTAAAGGGGTCCTTTACACCTGCGTGCAGACTTAGTTTCCATGGAACCCTGGGCTGCTCAGGGTACTGCCTGAGTGGATTCTGCCAGGTGACAGGACCAGGCCAGTGTAATGCTGGAACCTTTCACTCATAGTATTAAAAGGATTGCATAGTTACAGGGAACAAAGTCAAGAATACCAAGGAATATAGATTTTTTTCCACCTTCAAAGTCTTTTTTCTCCATCTCCTAAGAAATAACTACTGTCCACCAGTTCCTTGTGCATTCTTCTACGTATTCTCCACACAGATCAAGTATATGTATGTATTTTTGTACTTCCTGTTTGAAGTACCATTTTTTAAAAAGGGAAATGTGCTTATCTTTCTTGAGCAAACCACATGTACAGTGTCTATCGTCCATGCTTCCTCTAGCATTCTCTAGCCCAGGCTGTGGCACTGCTGCCTCCTAGAGAGAAAATAATCTGTTCCAAGGTTTGTGTTTTGTTTGCTTTGTTTTTGTCTGTTTAGTTATTTCTTGTCCAGCCAGGTGGTATGTAGTGGTTTCCTGTTGGTGTTGTGTTAGATGTAGCTGCCACAAAGTAAAAGATGCGTCCCTGTTCTTTGACCTTATGTTTTCAAGGAGGAAAACAAGCAGCTAAACCCCAAGCTAAGCCCATGCTTGTGATGAGTGCTGCTGCAGAAGCCATGAAGGTGTGGGGGTGGGTTTGTTTTTTGTGTTTGGGGAGCTCACAGCAGGAGGAGGGAAGAGAACTCAGGGGTTTCAGGACAGTGAGTGACAAGCTAAGTGAGCAGAACTTGCCTCCTTGGGATTCTGGGAAAATAATGGCCTCCAAGAGACAGCACCACCTGCAGTGGCCAGGAAGTGTCTTTCTAGGAGCTTCCAGAATCTTGGTTGCCGAATGAGCAGAGATAGGTCAAAGGATAAGCAAAATGCTGGTAGGGACTGGAGCCTTAGTCTTCAGGGAAGTTAGAAGCCAATATCACTATGGGAGACCATAATCAAGTACAGGTTTTCAAAAGCTTCTGTGATTGTTGAACTTGTGTATCTCTTGCCTTTCATGGTGCTTGGAACTGAACCCAGAGCTTTGTGCGTGGAAGGCAAGCACTAACTACCTTTGGGCTGCATCTCTTTCCAGTCAGTCTCCTGGAGACTTGTTAAAGCAAATGAGTTTCTGATTCAGTGGACATGAAAGAAGAGCTAAGAACTTGCATTTTTAACAATTTCACATGTCTGGGGTTGGTTCTGAGGCCAGTTAGGGAATTTAGAGACCTATCAAGTGTTTCCTTTTTGCCAACTTTCATTACACTTTGGGGTTCACCTGTCCCTATCCCTCCAGTAGCCTCTGTTCCCCAGTTCAGAATACACAAAGTAGCAACTGTGGAATCCCAACCCCTTAAAACAGCTCTAGTGAACCTCATGAGGAAGGTAGAGCTGGGTTAGGCAGGAACTTGAGAGGTAAGCCCAACCCAGGACAGGAAAAGAGAAAACATGAAGAATCTTGCTCCTTACTGAAGGTTAGAGGTGTGGCGTGGAGCAAAGGTTTGGAGATGGGAGTGTGAAGTGGATTTTCTGTGTGTTTATATGCAGGTTCATATAGACACAAGGAATTGGTTCCTGCCAGCTACAAGAAATATAGACCCAGAAAAGGATAGTTATAAACCATGTCAGAAGAGTAACAGTATTATCTAGAATTTATTGAGCATTTCATAAATGCCAGGCTTTACAGGTACTGCCTCATTTTAAAATCATTCTAAGACTTCAAAGAAGTAGGCCCAACTATTGTTCCCATTCTAATGATCAAAGTAGCCGAGAATCAGAACAAAGTTATATTATGTAACTTTGCCAAAGTCACCATAAGTGTAAGAAACTAGTGTTTTGAGATCAATAAGCATGCCAGATCCTTGCACAAAGAAGAAATGAGAATAGCATATGTCTTACCCATGAAAAGTGTCTTTTATACTCCTGCCCCCATGCTGAGTAAGTAGTGTGAAAAATCAAAGAAAATGTGTGATCTTTGTTTGAATTCGAGATTGCTTTTACCATGAGAGACTAGTTTGGTCCTGTTTTCCCAATCCCAGGACTTCAGGGATGCCTGGGCTCTAAAGGTGGGTGGTCTCTAGGATGTTCCTAACTTTGAGCTGTCTACATTTCAGCCTGAAGAAATAGTTTATTGTGATACGAACAAAGGCATGGTAGAAGATCTGAAGAGCAGGTACTGTGTGTCCTTCCACCCACCACTTGTCTGTCACCTCCTCGTCATCTAAACCAGCCTCTCAGAGTGCCCATTAGACTCAGCAACAAAAGCATGAAAAGGGAGATCCCAATGGCTAGCCCTACTGAACCACAATCTCTTAATGTTAGCATGATAAATGGTCCCTCTACCAGCTAAAGAATCCCTTGAAAGGACAGTCTACGTTGACTCTGGGCATCGTAGGCCATGGTTGAAACTTTCTCAGTGTGGATAGTTGATGAGCCTATGATCATAATAAAGCAAAAGCCAACTCCTTGTAGAAGGATATGAAGGTTAATGGCCATGACCCTTGTTGTGGTGAAGACATCTCAGCTGGCTAGCACAAACACTCAACAACACTGTCAGTCCTGGATAATCCCCAAATTTATACGTTCATTGCCTTATGGAGAGCCTCAGTCAAGCCCCAAATGGGTCATAGTCTATACAGAAGGCTTTACTCCTACTCCACATGTGTCAGCAGCTTCTGAATCAGACTTGCTGCAGGGGCTCACACTCACGCAGCAGGCTGGCATGTAACCCACTGTCAGCCAATCGAAACAGTGTGACCAAAGTCATCTTGTCACTTCCTTTTCTTGATAGTATGTAAGCTTACTCTGTCCCCAGTCATTACTACCCTCTTTTTGAGATTAAAAAATTATTAACATTTTATATGTATAGCTCTTTACCTGCATATATGTGTATGGTTGTTTATCACATACATGCCTGGTACCCACAGAGGCCAAGCCAAAGAGGACTTCAGCTCCCCTGAAACTGGAGTTACAGATGGTTGTGAGCTGCCATGTGGGGGCTGGGAATTGAACCTGGGTCCTCTGGAAGAGCACCAGTGCTTTTAACTGTTGAGCCATCTCTCCAGCCCCCATTCCCCAGTTCTCTAGAAAAACAGTAAGTGTAGTAGGGAAAGGGATCCTCACTAGTTTGCATTAGAATTGCTTCCAGAACTACTTACAGTACAGGCTCAGGGGTCCAGACACCACTTGCATCATTATCAGAAGCTGAAGCTTTCTGATGTCAGCCCCCATTGAAACACACCAGCACTTCAGCCAACATATTATAAACTCAGGAATTGCACTGTAAATTCAAGTGAGAAGAGACTCTCAGTAGCTTCTCTATAACAACCTATAGATTCTGGGGTTGGAGAGATGGGTCAGAGGTTAAGAGCTCTTCCAGAGGTCCTGAGTTCAATTCCCAGCAACCACATGGTGGCTCACAACCATCTATCATGAGATCTGGTGCCCTCTTCTGGTGTGCAGGCACACATGCAGACAGAACACTGTATATGTAATAAAAATAAGTAAATAAATTAAAATAAAACCTATAGATTTGACCCCACAAGGTCATTTCACTCACAGGACCCGTGAACCAACTTACACACTTCTCCCTTTTCCCAGTAAGGTTCCGCCAAGCACCATTAGAGGGCTGCTCTAAATCTCTGCTCCTGTGGAATGACATTCTAGTGAGGATGGGTGGGTGTGACCACCATATTTAGTCCCTTGCCTTCTTTCCTTCCAAGTCCACATCCTGAACTAACTGAACTAATAATCCCACTTCTGCTAATACCTCAGACCAGATATCCGATTTTTTTTTTTGAGACAGGGTTTCTCTGTGTAGCTTTGGAGCCTATCCTGGCACTCGCTGTATAGATCAGGCTTGCCTCAAACTCACAGAGATCTGCCTGCCTCTGCCTCCCGAGTGCTGGGATTAAAGGCGTGTGCAACCAATGCCCGACTCAGATACCCGATTTTTTAAAAAGGCAATTTCTTGGAAACACTATGCCCTTTGCAAAGGATGGGTAAAATGCCAGCCAGTAATCAGATGACAGGTGCTGTCAAACAGCAACTGCTGTACCTGGGTGTCTGGAAGAGATACTCTTAGCAGATTTAATTTCTGGCTACGTATGGAAGCTTCTGGCCTTCCCTAGCCAATAAGAGCCTACGTCTCCCTACTTGATTGGTCAATGTGAGTCATAACTGGCACCCCTCACTGTAAATAACTGCTTCCCTCCTAAATCTCAAGTTTCTTTCTCATTTGTGAAGTGACAAAGTTCTTGTGACATTTACTAAGTGAGTCACAATTTGCCAAAGGCATTATCTTTGCATTCTTTTTTTTTAAGATTTTATTTATTTATTTATTTATTATGTATACAACATTCTGCTTCCATGTATATCTGCACACCAGAAGAGGGCACCAAATCTCATAACGGATGGTTGTGAGCCACCATGTGGTTGCTGGGAATTGAACTCAGGACCTCTGGAATAACAGTCAGTGCTCTTAACCTCTGAGCCATCTTTTCAGCCCTATCTTTGCATTCTTACCACAGGATGGAAAGGGCACTGAAATGTAAAATGATGGAATGGCGACCTAAGCACCCTACGCGATGGAATCGGCAGTGCACTTCTGTTTTGCGACAAATCCTTCCTAAGCTAGAGTTTTACACGGGAAGTTTTGCTTCATTTGAAGACAGTGAGTTAGAAAGGCTGCTACAGTTTTATTGGGTTTGTATGATTTAATTTGTACATGATATTTGATTTTAACCTGTTGTTAACTGGTAAATAACAGCAATCTGAACTATCTCTGAAATGCCTCTTTTTTGGTCACCAAAGACAGAGGAGTTGAAAACCCAAAGAGTGAGAAGAATCTCTCACTCCACCATCCAGGGGGCTAGATGTCTTCCAGGAGACAAAGGAGAGATCTGTTAGGAGTGTTAGGGAAGGGTCTGCAGGTGCCATTCAACCAGGAATAAAGAGGAAGTTGTTCTTATTTTTCTTTGTTTTAACAGAACTTGGAATAAAAGTTATAAATAAAATATAGCTAAATATAAGCCAATGTTTAAAGCTTGGAGTTTCTGTGCAAAAATATCAGATTAATAGTGCATAGTAGACAATAATTAGGTCAAGATTGAGCCCTTCAGCCTGGATTCTATTTACTTATAGACCAAAAAGTTGTGATAGAACCAACATTACATGCATGGCATTTTCTCAGAACTGTATGTTTTATGACCATAAATGGTGAACTTTGAAAAGAGATGTCCAATCTGAAACTAGGAAACTGAGAAATGATCCCTAGTAACCTATTGGATTCTGAGTCATTCATTGCTTCTGGGCAAGAGAAGTCCAGGAAAGTTCAGTTATCTCTGGATGCAAATGACTGCCAATTTTATGTCCAGCCTGGACCTTGACAGCCAACCTCACCTTAGACCATTGTCAGTGCACTGACATCTCCCTGGAGAATGAAAAGGCATCTCACGTTCAGCAAGTCCAAAAACAAATAAGGTGGACATTTGTTAGAGTCTCCTTTCCTTACTTTGTTTAGCACCGGCGTTCCTTCACTCACCCCACCTGTCCTCTATTAACTGGTCCCCTGGGTTCTTAGAAGGCCCAGTTGTCCAAGAGTGAGAACCTCTCCCTCGACCATCTAGGAAGCTAGATGTCTCCCAGGGGATCCCAGCAGTCAGGGAGGGGTCTGCAGGTACTATCCATTCAGGAATTAGGAAGAGGTTGTTCTTATTTTTCTTTGTTTTTTATAGAATTCGTGATTAAGGAGATAAATATAGTTAAATATAAGCCAAGGTTTAAAGCTTGGAGCTTCTGTGTAAAAATATCAGACTAACGATGCATAGTAGACAATACTTAGATCAAGATTGAGCCCTGCAGCCTGTAGTCAGATCCTATTTTGACCATTCACTGGTGTCAACCCAGGTGAAGTCATCAAACCCAGCTACACCTTTTGTCCATTGGATAACACAGGGGTAAAAGCAGTTGTCTGTTTTGTGATCATGGTGAGGATTAAGTAAGTTTATTCTTAGTATTTAACTCAACATCTAATGCTGACTAAATGCTAAACAGTTTCTGGTCTGTGCGGGGACCCAGGCTAAGCACTGGAATTATGGCAGGAAACAATAAAGATACAATCAAGGGCATTCACAGGTGGACTAGAGGCAGATCAGAAAATACTACTGATGAAGTTGCATTAGGTGGGCAAGAGAAAGGACAGCGTATATGGAAAGGGCATGTGAGCACACTTAAGACCTGGAAAAACCCTCCCGAGGGGAGCAATGGAAGCTCCCCTCAAGGGTTCATGGTTGTCATCTGTGTGCTACTATATCACATTACTTAGACCCACATTCCCTTAACACTGTCACACAGTAGTGACTTAATATAAACATGACGGTTGTTAGCAGTTTGCCATCTGGAGGGTCCACGTTTGTTCTGTGTCAGCAGTACAGATTCTTGTTTTTCTCTACTGGGTCTGTACCGTGCGGGTGATTCAGAACTTACCTCATTCAGTTATCTGAGGCTTATTTAACACTACATCCAGAGCCGGGCGTTGGTGGCACATGCCTTTAATACCAGCACTCGGGCGGTAGAGGCAGGTGGATCTTTGTGAGTTCGAGGCCAGCCTGGTCTCCAGAGCAAGTGCCAGGATAGGCTCCAAAGCTACACAGAGAAACCCTGTCTCAAAAAACAAAAACAAACAAGCAAACAAAAAACCCACTATATCTAGAATATGACAGTGACTCACAAAAGCCAGTTATTGTCAAGACTGCCACATCGCTAAGACTTCTGTGATCTTTCTGATAATGGTAGTTCCAGACTTCTAGACTGTAATGTGCCTTTGTGTTGTGCTAACCTTATCCAGGTCACAGGATTTCCCATCCAGATGCCCTACACAGATGTCCAGTCAGTCATCGATGCCGTCTACCAGACTGGAGTTCACTCTTCTGAATTTCCCCAGACAGAATTTGCTTTAGCCGTGTACATTCATCCATATCCAAACAACATATTATCTGTGTGGGTCTACTTGGCTTCCTTAGCCCGCTATCAGTGAAAGGGAAGAAGGGAAAAGGCAAAGAGTACTATGGTCTCCTAGATCCAAGTTTTCCTGTCATCTGGAGATTTTGCTGCTTATTTTCAAGTTCACCAGTGCTGGGCATAATTTGGATTCCTGAGTAGAGTTGGAAACTATGGAGACCACATCAGCACCCCTTCCCCAAGCTTTGAGGATGAGTCTAGATACCTCCATACATACACACCTCTTCCAGGAGACCCTCAGCAGTTTGGCTGCTTTGTGTACTCCAGTCTACAGTAGATCTCATTCTGGAAAAGAAGCAATGCTGGCCTGCTCCCAAAGGTCATTGCAGCTCAATCAAGGTGGTCTCACCACCTCCATTACAGCCATCCTAAGAGGCTTATTAAGAGTGGAGATCCCCAGACTCACCCAAGACTTCCTGAATCAGAACCACTGAGAGGAGAGCAGCATTGTTTTTGATCCGCTGTAGAATGTTGTCAGTACTAACGAGACATGGGTACCTTTGAAGCTTGTTCTGATACAATTCCAGATAAAAATTCCTCAGAGGGAACCCTGAGGTCATATTCTAGTCTGAAAGGCTCCAGATATAAGAAAAGCCTGTTTCAGTTTGAGTCAAAGGGCCAGAAAAGACCTACCTCCCAGCTTAAAGAAATTAAGCAAGAGGAAACCCCTCTTACTCCATTGAGGGAGGGCAGTCTTTTAATTCTGCTCAAAGCTCCAGCTGACTGGATGAGGACTACCCACATTCAGAAGGGCAATCTGCTTTACTCAGCTCACCAAGTCACGTTCTCCAACCCAGCACTGCCTTCACACATATATCCAGGATGCCCGAACAGTGGCTCTCCTGTGGCCCACTCAGGTAGATAATAACAGTCTATGTCCATTTTAACCAGAAGTAAAAATGTATGTAAAATTTTAATCTTGGGGTACTCACTGGTAAATTGCATATTGTAAATATATGCAAATTTTGGTTCCTAATTTGGAGAATAGCATAAAGACTATCCTTAACATTCTGCATCATAGTGGTTTGGAAATATCATTAGGATCTTCCATATCAAGTTCATTACAGGTGTGATCTACCTCTCCTCAACCTCTCCAACTGCCAAGTGTCAAATATTTTAGAGAAAGATGACAGGTGTCAATGCATTAAGACCGGTTAATGAGCTTATACAAATCTAAATGGGAGGTGAAGGTGCTATAGGCAAAGAGATTGGGTGTGAACCGTAGTCACAGTGACTTAAATAGTACACAGGTGTAAATTTGTGCCAAGGAAATGAGTCGAGAACAGGTCCAAGGGCTTCTGGCTCCTAGTGCTTTGTATCCAAAAGAATTTGGTAGAGCCTTGAAGAAACCTGAATGTTTACTAGACTAGAATGTATAACAAAAACAAAGTGCACACTATACCATGGAGTAAGGTACCATTTTACACACAAAATGAGGCAAGGGGGTTTACATCCATGCGTTGATGTAAAGAACTTTGTATTCTGGGAAGGGACAACCAAAGACACAGCAGTCGTGGTGGCACCCCTGGGAAGAAGTGTCGTCAGTGGTTATTATGCACTACTTTATACTGTTTCAATGTTTTGTCTTTTGCATGCATTTATTTAAGTTTTTCTTTTTAATTAAAAGCAATTTAATTTTTCAATTAAAATTTTTTAACATTTGAATACATCTTATGTACGTGGTTCACAGTGTTTTGTTTTTGTGGTACTACAGCTTGAACCCAAGGTCTCAGGTATGCCAGGCAAGCACCATTCTGCTGACGATATCCCCCGGTACTCAGCACACAACATTTGATAAACACACACATCAAGTTTAGAAAACTTGGTGAATAATTCCCTCTGTGTTCTGATGTCAGTGTCTGTGCTGCGAGAGCATGGCCCGCTTCCCACTGACTGAAGTTCCCAGAGTTACAAAGGCTTCGCAGAGAATCTGCTCTCTTCCCCCAACGCTTGCCAAACCACTTGTGCCTTGGGCTATAACCCAACTCTAGTTCCCACTCTGCTGTGTGGGTGCCTTACCCTCTTCACTTTTATACCTTTACTGGTCACTTCCCAGGTTTGGAGTATCTTTACCCAAGGCAAAACGGTCCTCCATTTTTATTCCAGGTGTGTCTTCTCCTGAGAGCCCTTCCCTGTTTGTTGTCCCCTCTGTCTGGCACACCCATCTACCAGATAGATACGTACCACTTACTTTCCCTCAGGCCTCTGCATGGCTCCCCATAGCATAAAACAATGCCCACCTTTCATTATCACGATTCTTTGCAGTAGAAAGTAAACTATGAGAAAACAGTTCAGTTAAGTAACTGCTTTGCACCCAGATATCATTCTAAAGGGATAAAGAAATAGTTGTAATGATATATTATTTATGATTTATCAAAGCTTGGCTGAGGATTCAGAAAAGCAAAGTTAGACTCAAGCTATAGAGATCAGGCAGTGGTGAAACACACCTTTAATCCCATTCCAGCAGTCAGAAGCCAGGTGGTGGTGGTGGTGGTGGTGGTGGTGATACACACCTTTAATTCTAGGACTCAGAATTAAGAGACGGAGAGCTACACAAGAGTGAATCAGTCTAAAGGAGAATTATAGCTCACACCTTCAATCCCAACATTAAGGAAGTATAGAAGACAGAAGCAAGGTCTCAGAGAAGCAATCATTCTCCAGCCAGACGAGGAAAGGTTACAGTCTGAGGCTTGGTGAGAACTCATGGAGACAGGATCAGCCCATTCAGCCTGAGGTAGAGGTAAGAAGCCAGTGGCCAGCTGCTTTGCTTTTCTGATATTCAGAAGTTTGAACTCCAATATCAGTCTCTGGGTCATTTGTTTTGTGTTACAAATAGTAAAACAGAAATTTGCCTCTTAGGAATGCATAATCTAAGACCACCAGAGACATATACAAATATTACCAAAAATGAATATTGACATCTTACAATGAGCCATCTAAGTCTAGAAAATACATGATTTCTGAACAAATATCTCTCTGTAAACAACACCTTCAAAGGAGAGACTGTAGGACAACCTTCTCATTACAGGATCATACAGACAATTAGAGTCTTTGGTCCTCTTTTCTGAAGAGGTTAAGAAAGGCATGGACTGTAAATCATTTGGAAGCCAAATTATCGCCATAAGCCTGCTTAGTAGTCATGTATTGGAAACTGAGGACGTGGGTACTATTTAAATACCATAAATGACATGGAAATTTTAGCCTGATGTGTCCTCCTCTGCTAGTGGCTTCTTCCTCAATGCACTGGGCGGGTAAGGCTGGGCTCTGCCAACTTTCACTTGTATGGTTCCCTTTTCTAGCCATCAGTTCCTGAATCCCTGCTTTCCCCAGGCATTAGCCCTGGCACACACAGGTCTGCAGCAGTTCTTCCTGGACGTATGCAAATGCCAGTGCGATAAGCCGGTTCCTGCAATGGGCACTCATCATTTTGTAGTAGCCCCTTATCACCATTCCTCTTCCTAAACAAAATATTCAAAAGTAAGGGGTGCGGTCTCACGATTTATGTTTAAATAGTGAAGCCGCTCTATAGCTCTGCTCTGGAAAGTCGGGAGGCCAGGGTCCCAGCTGACCATCTACTTTTGTGGTGGCCCACCCAACACTTTCAGGGTGGGTGTCTGTCACTCACATTCCAGCCCCAGCATCACCTTAATCGACGCTGGGGTGTTTCCACAGTTCGGGGTTTCTTCGCTGACCATCTCATGATGGTCAATTACATTCATTATGGATTACTGAAGATGTCAGTTCCATTCACAACTCTTGAGAATCGCTGAAGCAAAAGCAACAAGACCCGAATTAGATTGCTAAAAGAATTCCGGGTTTACAGGTGGAACCGGAGCAGAATTCGACAAGCAAAGCGGCTCAGAACTGTGGGAACAGGTAAAGCCTATCTGGAAGGTCGGGGACCGGGCGAGCAGCAGCCCCTCGCAGTGAGACACAGCGAGCCAGATCCGCGCTGCCAACGTTTTATCGCAGGGCTGAGGCGCCGCAGCTCTCTCTGCCCGCACCCGG